ATTCCATCTTCCCCGGCACACCATATCAGCTTTTTCTTCTATTTCGCCGCCATAACACTGTTTTGTAATTTTGTATCCTCTTGTGGAAACCGCTGGCTTCCATGGATTGATGTAAGTCAGCGCTATATCTACGTGCGATTGGTGTTATAGAGATCAAACTATTGACGAGACCGTAGACTGCGGCGGTGTTCTGGACATTCGCAGGCGTCTTTGCCATAACTATAACTGTTCTTGTTGTTGCAAAGAACGGACGCCACTCTGCGGACTATGTCTTTGGTCATTTTGAAACAGAGTCGGGTTGGCCGGATGCATGGTCTTTCTGCATTGGCCTGATGCACGCTGGCTATGCCACATCGTCAACTGGCATGATCCTTTCGTACGTTACGACCTTCAATCCGCAGATGGTGGATAGCCAAGCAGGACTAACTCAACAATAGGATGTGCGAAGAAGTGCGTCAGCCGAGCACGCAGGTACCCAAGGCAATGGTTGCAACTGCCTGCATCAATACCGTAGCTGGTCTTCTGTTCTTGATCCCCCTTGTTTTTGTCCTACCGGATATTCAAACATTGTTGGCAACTTCTTCCTTGGCACAGCCTACTCCGACCATCATCAAAAGCGCCGTAGGCTCGTCCGCTGCTTCTTTTGCGCTTCTGCTGCCTCTCGTGATCCTCGGTATCATCTGTGGAGTCGGCTGCACCACTGCCTCCTCTCGCTGTACGTGGGCCATTTGTCGGGACGGAACACTTCCCGGTTCCAAGTGGTGGAGTCAAATCCACACGGGCCTCCAGGTACCGCTGAATGCCATGATGTTCCTCATGGTGGTGGAGCTTCTGCTTGGATTGCTTTACTTTGGATCGAATGCAGCGTTCAGTGCTTTCTCCGGGGTCGGCGTCATCTGCCTAACGTGCGCGTACGCCACGCCAGTGACCATCAGTCTCATGAACGGCCGCAAGCACCTCGAGAAAGCATCGTTCAGCCTTGGCGAATGGGGTTACGCATGCAATGTTGTGACCATAGGTGAGTTCCCTCAGAAGTGAAGGGAGACAATTACTGATGCGCCTTAGGATGGACCATACTAGCTGTGCCGTTATTTTGTATGCCGTCGCCGCTGCCTGTGACTGCGCTTTCTGTCAACTACGCACCCGTCGTTTTTACCTTTGCTACTTTGTTGTCAGTTGGCTGGTATGTCGCGTGGGGCCGTCGACACTACACAGGGCCGCCTAAAAGTGAGTAAATTTGGCGTGTTGTTGAAATGGTTCGGCACCATTCAAGGTAGTTAATGTAGTCTAAATGCATCATATTACCAGTGAAGAGTGCTGAATCTTGAAATAAAATCAGTCAAAGTGAGCACAACACGCGATGTGAACGTTGGTATCTTGACCAAGATGACTAACCGATCGGAAGCATTTGGCGTACTATAGATCAGGGCCCTAATTTAAGTAGGTAATCAAGCATCGTAAAATGGACCTTCGCAGGAAACCTTCACACGGGAAGTAATCAGATTGAAAATATCGATGCATGAGGCATACAGTCTACAATGAAACCTCAAGTGGCTGAGGCACGATCCATCCACTACCCCTCGAATTGGGCCGGTCGGGAAGCCTGTCGCGCCCGGTACAGGTTACGACAGGTCCGTCCCACTTGAAAGTTGTTGTAAAGATTCCCACTTTTTTATCACTTGATAGATATCCTCTGTTGTTGCGTGTTGCATATCAGATGCTGCCTGTCTGAGTCGTATCAACGTGATTTCTCTTCGCAACCTCGTAGAACAACCTTTGGTTAACTCTCTCTCGACTCCCTTGAGAGAATACCCTGGTATGGCAAACAACGCTGGGATCGGTTAACTATCTGGAGGACTTGAGGCTCAGGCCATCTGCAGTCCTCCCGATAGGAAAGAAGGGCCTTGATTCTAGACGAAGGAATGAACTTACAAGCTCCAAGGAGGCAGAAGCAGCCTCGGGCGCCGAGGTAGGTGCCGATCATGAGTCCTTTCATTCCGCCCTCTTTGACGCCCAGATATGGACTTAGGAATACACTGGTGAAGGCTTCCCATAATGACAATGAAGACTCCTTGGCAGCAGCGCGTAGACCGCTTTTCCATCCATCGATCTCATCGCGCCGCCGAGCGTCCATCTTGTGCATGAAGCTGTACCAAGCCAAATTATGGAAGCCATTGGCAATGTTATATGATAGCGAAACGGGGACCCTGAGACAGGCCTTGCTCAGATCGCCAGCCAATCGTCCCGTGGCTCGCATGATAAATCTAGAATTGCCGCGCCGGCCTTGGTACTTGGTTTGTACAGCCACCTGACGCAGGTTGATTGAGGACGATGTGGGCTGTTGGGCCAATGACCCCGGCACTAGTTTCGCAGCTGTCTCAAGGACAAGGGCATCGAGCCGTTCCAAGGCCCTCGGATCTGGTCGATGGTTCTCGGCATGCCTATGCTCACTTCTGGATAGATTTTGGAGGTTGTCTTCGAGCGGCGCGGCTTCGTCTTCGGCCACCATGGTAGACAAATTCGGCTCGACTGGCCGCGGCTTGCCTTTAGACGCTGTTGATACCGGACGTTTCTTGAGTTCATTAGAATAATCTCCCAGCGCTAACATTATGGCTGTGATGAAGGACGACGCAGCTGCCGCCGCGCCCACAAGAGGATGCTTGGCTCCGTCGTCAAGGTTCCAAGTCTTATGCCTGATTATCTTGACGTCATGATAGTCGACCAGACCCTTTTCGATCAAACATGCCAGCGCAAAGCCGCTTATGCGGGTACCTTTGACCTTGTGCTCCCAAATAGCAATCCTATCGGGAGACAATGCGCACCAGAGTGCATCCCTATCAATGCGAGCTTGAATGTCGTCAGCTGCGCCACTGGCGCCGTCCTCTGATGCGATAATTCGAGCCATTTTCAGCGCGGCTGTGCCGGCCTCGGGTCGCAGGGAGAATTTGATGCTGTCGGCCAGGTTGTCGGCTGTCAGGTCTTTGAAAGGTATGGGCATGGGGCCCGCGCCGGCGCGAGCGATCATTTGGCCCCAGAAAGGCTGATCGCCGAAGAACGGCACAATGACTGTTGGTTTTCCGGTAGCTATGCCCGCTGCCGTGGTCCCAGCACCTCCGTGGTGGACAACGGCAGCGACTTGTGGGAAAAGCCAGTCGTGGGGGCAGTTTCCCAGCATGAACACATTCTCCGGGATGTTATCCTGGCACCTGAACGTACCCCAGCCCTCGGAGACGATCGCACGAACGCCGGCGATTTTGATAGCTTCGAACACCGTTTTGGTTAGGCTCAGTGGATCGTCGACGACTATAGAGCCAAAACCAATGTAGATGGGCGCAGGCCCGCTTTTGAGAAAGGTCCGAAGCTCTGGCGGGGGCGTATATGAGGTGGACGAGGGCAAGAAGGAGAACCCCGTGATGTTGATATAGGAGCGCCAATCTTTCGGCTTGGGCACCAGGGCCTTGGACCAAAGATAAGTATATGGAACGTGAAGTCTAAAGAGGAGCTGAGACCCCCAAAAGGCGCTCAGAGGGTCGAGGTGGAGGGTTTGCACCCGGAGTCTGTTTATCAGGTCACCAAGCCTGTGGAAGCGTCAGCCGACTATCTGAGGGCAACAATGACATCGAATAACACCAATCAAGCTAAGGAGAGAGGCCACTTACCCTTCCCAGGTCAGTAGCTCTACCATGAGGAAAGACATGTAGTTAGCTACGCCCTGGTCCGCATCCCTATACGCCATGGCCGACAGGGGGTGTGGGAAGGCCTCGGTAAGCGACCATGGCATGGTGAACACCATGTGGAGTGGAATGCTCAGCTTTTCGGCACAATGTATATGGGCCATTGATGGTGGGTTAGCGATAATAAGGTCAGCCAAGAAGAGCTCTTCGGGATCTTTAATAGATGTTGCAGTCAAGGGGTCTCCAGTGCCATCGCCAGCCTCAATGCAGCTTCGCCAGCAGCCATTAATTATTTCCCACATCTCTTTGCGCCTCCTTTTGACGTCGCCGGCTTTGATGCTCGTACGGTTAGGTATTAAGCCCATATTTTTGACCATGTATGCCATGAGAGCCTCAGGATCCCCACCGATACTGAAGAACTCGACGCCGTGGGATTCTATAAAGTCCTTGAAGTGAGGGTGCGTACAGATCCGCACACGGTGGCCATAGCGCGGGCCCGCGAGCATTTGGGCGATAGGTATAAAAGGCTGGATATCGCCGCGAGACCCCACGATGTGGATGGCGATGCTGAGACGCGGGTGTCGTCGATCGGGGGCTTGTTGAGCACCGGAACCATTCGTAGTACGGCTGTCGCGGTGGTTCTCTAATTCCTTGTCTTCATGCCTATTGCCATGGTCAGATGTTCGGGTTGATTCGCAGGAGTCGTCCCTCTGCAGAAATTTGCACCATCGCGCAAGCTCCTCTGGATGCTCGTGAAACTTCAATTTTACATTTCTGCTATCGATGCCATCGTCCGTGAGGTTGTCGAGTAGGGATCGAACTTGGTGGGTAACAAGAGGCGCCATAACAACTATCAAAGATGTCGTGCTGATGAGAGGGCGATCGGATGAAGCAGCCACGCTGTAGGGTTGGTCTATAATCAATGGATATAGTCGCAAACTGGGTTTGAAATACACAAACGGTCCTGTAGAGTTCCAACGTCAAGTGCCAGGAAACCATCTCCACGGGTCGGCACTTCCGGCTCGTCATGTGACCACGAAAATGGTGGCATAAATGGGTAGGTGCACCGAGGGAGAGGTCGTGGCGATTAGCTGCAAGAGACATGATTTAGGTTCAATCAACATGACTCCGCTGTATTTACCTTGGTATGGCATCTGGACTTGGCATCGGGATTTCGGGGGTTGGCAAGTATTCCCGTAGCCCCGGCCGGGCCCCGAATTTCTAGGTCGGCCTTCTCGTGATGGGTCCAAAAGGGAAAGACGGGCTAGCCGCAATGCGCCCTATACTATATCCGCTGCTCACTGACTCAATCGTCCGTGAAAAATGGAGTACGGCGCCCGCGAACCCCGATACCCGACAGGCAACACCTGTGAGAGTTCTGACCCACGGCATACCAAAGTCGGGCCCGGGCACCGTCATTGGGGTGGAGAACTTCAATACTCTGTGTTACGAAGGCAGGGCAACCCAAATTGTATTCATGTCTTAAGGTCAAAACTCATAATCCCCCCAGCTTCATCTTCATCGCCTTCCTATTCATTGCCTTCATCTGCCTCCTCCAACCTCGAAAAAGGTGCCAAGTTGCAATCTGCGCCCCAGCCCACTGCGCCAACCGTCCCTTCTACCGGTACAGTCTTTCGAGAGACCGTCGCGATGGCCGTCGCAAACGAAAAGGCAACACAAGGGGACAGCCCAATGAGTCCAGGTCTGGCCCCCACGCCCGCCTATATCCCCGTCGCAGAGAAGCGTGATGGTAAGGTGGACGAAGAGAAGAACATGGGCCCTGTGGAAGGTTATATTGTGAGGAAACGTGTGTCGCGCTACCTAGCCGAATGATGAGCTAATACATGACAGAGAATCTTCAAATATGGCACCAAATCCGAACACTCGATGCAGGCTGTGGCCATCTTGTGTGCCGTCGGCTCAGGCGTGGCCATGGCAATGGTCAACCTGGTTTTCGGCCAGTTCATCACCGTCATCACCAAGTTCGTGACCGGCCAGAATACGCCAGCGGAGTTCCGTAAAGATGCATCTCGGCTTGCGTAAGTATCTCAACGGTGTGTGAGCAAGGACTCTAGCTGACCGGCGAATGCCATTTTGTAGCCTCTACTTCTTTATCATCGGCATCGTGCGCTTCAAACTCAGTTACGGCTACGCCACCTTCTTAACACTCGCCGCTTATCGCACAACTCGCAATATCCGCACTGCGTATCTCCGAGCCGGTTTAAGTCAGGACGTAGCCTACTTTGATGCGGCCGAGGGCGGATCCATTGCCGTCCAGGCCACCTCCAACGGCAAGCTTATCCAGGCTGGCATCTCCGAGAAGCTCGGCATGGTCTTCCAGGGACTTGCAGCGTTTGTCGCCGCCTTCGCTCTGGCCTTTGCCACACAGTGGAAGCTCACCCTTATTACTTGCTGTATTGCCCCTGCTACGCTGCTCGTCATCGGAGTAGCCTCCACTATCGAGGCCGGTATCGAGACCGAAATCCTCAAAGTTCATGCGCAGGGAGGCAGTTTCGTCGAGAGCGTGCTCTCCAGCGCCCGCACTATCCAGGCTTTCGCCCTCCGCACCAGACTAGTTGAGAACTTTGACTCTTACTTGAAAGAAGCTCGCCGACTCGGTAACAAGAAGAACCTACTTTTTGGGATCATGTTCTCGGCTGAATACTTTATCATGTTTGCTGGAATGGGTCTGTGTTTCTGGCAAGCCATCAGCATGCTCGTCAAGGGGGAGGTAGACGAGCCAGGAGACGTTTTTATGTGCGTGCCCCCGGATGTCCTCTATTTCCTACTTCTAAGCCTGTCTGTGTCTCCTTACTGACAGCCTATAGCGTCCTCATGTCCGTCATTGTGGCCGCCTCTAGTCTGACTTCAATCGCTCCCTACCTGATCGACTTCAGCCGTGCTGCAGCTGCAGCTGCTGAGCTGTTCCGCCTCATCGACCGCCCCTCGAAGATTGACCCGAACGATCCTTCGGGTGCGAAGCCTGACGTCGTTGAGGGTACTCTTGAATGCGAGAACATCGTCTTTAGCTACCCTATGCGCCCTGGCGTTACTGTTCTGAATAACTTCACCCTGCGCATTCCTGCCGGTAAGGTAACGGCTCTTGTTGGAGCTAGTGGCTCTGGTAAGAGTACCATCATCGGCCTCATCGAGCGATGGTATAACCCCAACTCGGGTTGCTTGAAGCTCGACGGTCGTCCTATCGACAGCCTAAATGTTAGTTGGCTGAGGAAACAAGTCCGTCTCGTCCAGCAGGAACCTGTCCTCTTCTCCGGTACTGTCTTCGATAACATTGCCAATGGTCTAGCTGGTACGGGCTGGGAGGACGAGTCCAAGGAGCAGAAGTTAGCCCGTGTGCAAGAGGCAGCCAAGGTCGCCTTTGCCCACGATTTTATCAGTGAGCTCCCCGAAGGTTACGACACGGTCATCGGAGAACGCGGTGGGCTTCTATCTGGCGGCCAAAAGCAACGCGTGGCCATCGCCCGCAGCATCGTCTCACAGCCTAAGATTCTCCTTCTCGACGAGGCCACCAGCGCTCTCGACCCGCACGCCGAAGAAGTCGTCCAGAAGGCCCTTGACAACGTGTCCAAAGGTCGCACCACCATCACTATTGCCCATAAGCTTGCTACTATTCGGAACGCCGATAATATTGTCGTTATGGAGCACGGTCGCATCATCGAACAAGGCACCCACCAGTCCCTCCTCGAAGCAGAGGGTGGGTATTCCCGCCTCGTCAAAGCCCAGGACCTTTCAGTCGCAGCCAAGCTGGATTCCGAAGATGATGACGACGACGCCACGGCCGACGGTGCGGCTGACCGCAAATCTGTCGAGCTCACCCGATCGCTTACGCGGTACTCGACGACAGCACAACAAGGCATAGCGTCTCGCCTCTCCCGTGATGATTTTGAGAACTGGAAGAGCACTGGGCTCGTGACTACCATTCTCAAGATTATCAGATCTACTCCTGAGCTTATCTGGACCTATCTGGCCCTTTTCACGGGCTGCTGCTTGGCAGCTGGTGCTTATCCAGGCCAGGCCGTGCTGATGTCAAAATTCATCGATGTCTTCAAGCTCACAGGTAATGAAATGCGAAAGGAGGGCAATTTCCTCGCGCTCATGTTGTTCGTCATGGCTTGCGGCTGTCTTGTCGTGTACTTCATTATTGGGTATTCATCCAACGTGGTCGCCCAGGTAAGGCACCTTTCATGATAGCCACCCTCTTGAATTGCCCAGCTGACCGTGACTCCCAGACTCTTAACCATAAATATCGGAAGCAAATCGTCAACGACATGCTGCGCCAGGATCTCCAGTTTTTCGACCGGCCAGAAAACACTACAGGTGCCCTGAGCAGCCGAACCGACTCCTACCCCCAGGCTGTATTCGAGCTCATGGGCTTCACCGTTGCCTTGATTCTCATCTCCATCGTCGGCGTTGTATCATGCTCTGTCCTCGCGCTGGCCTACGGATGGAGGCTCGGCGTCGTGGTAGTATTTGCCGGTCTGCCCCCTATGCTGATCTCGGGGTATGCTCGCATCAGGATGGAGTCAGCTATGGACGCCAAAATCAACAAACGCTTTTCGCAGAGTGCATCGATAGCCTCGGAAGCCATCAATTCGATCCGCACGGTGTCGTCGTTGGCTATTGAGCGGAAAGTCCTCGAGAGATACGACGCAGAGCTGGCACACGCCATCGCAGACTCGCGTAAACCCATCACACTTATCATGCTTCCTTTTGCCTTTACCCAGAGTGTCGAATACTGGTTTCAGGCACTGGGTTTCTGGTGCGTAACTCATCTTGTACAAGATCCTAGCCTGAAGTGTGGTTGCTGATCTCATCCCCATGATAGGTACGGATGTCGTCTTGTATCCTTTGGGCAGCTAACCATGGTTGAATTCTTCACTACATTCCTTGCTGTGTACTTTTCTGGTCAGCAGGCCTCTATATTGTTTGGCTTCTCCGGCAGCATGACCAAGGCAACGGGCGCCGCAAACTACCTCTTCTGGCTCCAGCAGCTTGAACCTACAATCCGCGAGACCCCAGAGAACCGAGACATGGCTCCCCAAGGTTTCAAGAGCCTCGATATTGAGGACGTGAAGTTCTCATATCCCATGAGGCCCGACGCACGTATCCTCCGTGGCATCGATCTCACTGTGAGCCCCTCTCACCCCACAACACAAACCTCTCTTTGCTGACTTGAGTACCTTAGATCAAACAAGGACAATTCGTCGCATTCGTCGGCGCTTCCGGCTGCGGCAAGAGCACCATGATCGCCATGCTAGAACGCTACTACGACCCGGTAACGGGTCGACTCCTTGTCGACGGCCAGCCCCTGTCTTCGCTGAACCCCTGGGCGTACCGAAACGACGTCGCCCTCGTGCAGCAGGAGCCCAAGCTCTACCCCGGCACGATCCGTGAGAACATCTCCATGGGCGTGCCGAGCGGAGGCACGTCGAAAGTACCCGAGGCAGACATCATCGCCGCGTGTCACTCCGCCAACGCATGGGACTTTATCAGCTCGCTACCAGACGGTCTAGACACAAACTGTGGCAGCAACGGCCTCCAGCTTTCAGGCGGCCAGCGGCAACGCATCGCCATCGCGAGAGCGTTGATCCGAAAGCCTCGACTGCTCCTCCTCGACGAGGCCACCAGCGCGCTGGACACGCAGTCGGAGCGAATCGTGCAGGACGCGCTGAACGAGGCTGCCAAGACGGGCGATCGGATTACCGTTGCCGTCGCCCATCGACTGTCGACGGTGCGCCATGCTGATATGATATGCATCTTCCACGGTGGTAGAATTGTTGATACCGGGACGCATGAGGAGCTTCTTGCCACGAGCGAGATGTACCGAAAGATGTGCGAGGCACAGAATCTGGGATAATGCCTGGTTGATTTCCTTTGTCAGAAGCTGATCGCCAGGTAGCGGAATTTTGCTTGAATCTCTCACCCCTAGAATGTTTTTCTTGGCAGAAGTTCGCCCTGCAATGGGCGGCGTTCCTCTCGAAACACCAACCATATAGACACGACACCGCCACCGATGGGTCTCTTACCATATATTTCATAAACTTAATTCCGGCACCACAGTGGTACCAGCTTGTGAACAGGCCTACGATGAGGGAAGGCGCGGGCGCCCTTTAGTGCTTATGCTGAAAGAGGTATTCATCACTTTAGACCTAGAGCTTAGCACTGGTAGTCTTCGGCTGTATGTCGATTAGGCGAGTCATTTGAAACCACGGCGCATCTTGGTCATGCTTTCTATTATGTTGGGCACAAGGACGCTACTATTGTCTCCGTCGTTACGGATACAACCCCGCAGGTCAACTACAATCTCTGTGCACCTCTCTATGACACCTCTCTATGCCATCCTCGGCTTCAGAATGCTCCTGTATCGCCCTTCCATGTGCATCCTCCGCAATTACGACTGCAATGCCAGAAACATAGGAAAATACTAGTGATAATCATCGCAAAACAATGCAGCAACGCAATGATGCAGTAATGCAAGTATGCAGGGGGGCAGGACAAGGCAGGGTATAGAACGCCAGGCGACGGATTTCGCCGCGTGCAATGAAAACAAACCCATCGTCAACGTCATGCCAGTCATCAGTCTTCCTCTTTCGTCAGTCTTCTTGTCGTCGTTTCCATAGTTGTCGATCCGCACCAGTGATCGTCTCTTGGTCCGGCCGCAGCTCGATGAGAGATGTGCATCACCAGCTCTTCATCCGTGCCCACGCCCACCCCTTCTTCTCGCCTTCCCTCTCTTCTTCCTCGAGTTCCATGCGATAGCGCCTCACGCTGCCCGTCTCGTCGTCGAATGCAACCGGTGTCTTCTCCCGCGGCACGAAACACTCGGGCACGAGGTGACGCCTCACCCAGCCCTTGATCCCCTGATGCGCAGCGTCGATGGCGGCATACTCAAGCCTCCTTGTCTGGTCGCTCGTCCAGTAGTGTGTCGGCTGCGGTGGCGGCGAGGGGATCGACCTGACGATTTCGCGCTCTTCCTGGTCCTGCTGTTTTGGCGGCGACGGCGGGGTGAGGTCGGTGGGGTGCGCCGGGAAGTGAAAGAAGCCTGAAGCGTGATTCGGCTGAGAGCGGGCGTTGTGCATGGCCTGGACCTGGGCCATCTGCGGCCGCGCAGGGTAGGGCGATGACTGGGGCGAGCGGCGGATGACGGGACGGCCGGGGCGGGAGCAGGGTCGGGCGCGGGGCGTGTGGGGACCCGATCCGGAGGAGGATGCAACGGATGTGCGGCGGGGCTGGCTGGAAAAGGATGTGCGCGGGGGAATTGATTCGTAGCCCGAATCTTGTCGCTTCATCTCGGTAGAGGAGGGGTGAGGACGTTGGTTCTCTTTTTGTGGGGTCGTCGGGTGGACGGTTGTTGACTTGTTGGTGGCCCTGGGTGGTGATGCTGGCGGAAACAGCTCGACATCGTGGAAAGAATGGTAGGTCGTGTCGGAGGCGGCGACGGAGGATCGCGAACCGGCAGCTCCCATGTGGGAGAGGCGAGAGATGCGGGGATCCATGGTCTTGGGGGTCGTCTACGACACAATCGTGGAAATCCCTTGACTCGCAGAGGGCGTGATGATGCCAATGCGTGCAGATATGGCGATAGGTGGGGTCTCTGATGCAGCGGCGGCCCTCATCAGTCCGTGAACGGCGTTGTTGACAGCGAGAAGGACGCAGGTGAAGGTCTCGCTGTGGACGTCGCAGAGCCGTCGAGAGACGTCGAGGTTCACTTGGAGCTGACGAGTGCGTGCCGGTGCAGACGGTCAAATACGTGATGCGGTCCGAAATGACCCAAAACAAACGAAAGAGGCGGAAATGAAGGCCTCGCCAGTCAAGGTGAGGAGAAGTTGCGGTCAACGGCGGTCGTTCCAGCGACGAGACGTGCCAGGGGCCCAGGCGAGAGTGGGATGTGATGCCCTGGATGGGTCTCGTGGGTTTTTTTTTCCCCTTGTCTCAACTGGAAAGCCGTGCAGCAAGTCGTCGATGGAGACGATCAATAACAAGAGCCAGACGGGTGGTCTAGCCAGGGGAGCGTGGGCACGTCTTGGGATGACGATTGGACGGCGACGAGCGGTGAGGGCGCGCAACAGGCTCGGCTCCAGGGTGGGTTATGCAGGCGGCTGCAGGTGCTGGGATCGGGGGATGCAGCCGAGAATCAAGACGAACGCGTGTTGTTGTTTATGGCGGCGGCGGTGCAGGTTCTGGCTGTTCTTACGTTGCGTGGGTTGGGGTTTTAGGATTTCCTGGTGCTGGTGTCGCAGTGCCGTCAGAGATGCAGGACGAGGATATTCCGGACGGCTTTGTGCGTGGCGTCTGCAAGGGCGCGATAAACGCTGGGTAAAGGCCGTCTCGAACGCTGGAGCAGGAGAGCACTCTGAAGTGGTAGTGGGTGCTGCTCTGAGTAGTGTCGTTCAACGGTAAGACGGCCTGTGCCGAGGTGCCCAGGGACGGGTCTCAGTGAGTGCTGTGCTGCTCAGTGACAGCCGCTGATGGTGCGTAGATCAGACGAGGGCGAGACAGAGAGCTGAAGAGTGTTGTGTCATCCAATGTCGGAGGATGCAGCAGAATGGCGGTGATTTTCTTAAGTATGATCGTAGTGATTTGAGTTTTTTCTCATGCTTCGAGTGAGTCGAGTCACAACGCACAGCAGAACAAAAGCGGGACAGGACTGATTCGTGCCGTGGGTGAGCGAGTGAGGGGATCGTGGATCGCAAGGCACGCGCCCTAGGCTAGGCGTCGGTGGTGGCAGGGGGCTCGGGTTTTGGTGGACACTGGTGATACTGTTCGATTCGTGGAGAGGAGGCCAGAGGAACGCGGACTGCCGCTTGTGTGCCGCCAGCGGGGTGCTACGGAGGGGCGTCGGGGGGAGGGGGGGCAGTGGCAGGGCGTTGACGGGGCGCTGGCGGGGGTGTAGTTTTGTTTGTTGGGCGGGTTGAAGAGGCGGTCTGGGCCTGTCTGGTGGATCTGCCGTGGTTCTGGTGGAGGTGAGCGTGTGTTATGGCGAGGTAACGTTCTGGCAAGGTCAAGTCATGGCGCGTTCAAGTCAAGGTTTGTCGCGAGTATGAAGGCGAAGCGAGGACGAGGGCGAAGAGTCGAGTATGAATACCGAGTCGTCAGGCCGGGTCGGCGTGACAGCCTCACATGTGAACGCTGATCTCGCCCGAACCCTATCGAGGCAGAGGCGTTCGAGACGACCAGTCTCGTCACACAGAGATGCCGTGGCTTGCGACGGCAATTGATGTGATTGATGTGATTCGGTGGCGGTCGTGTGGGTGTGGTGTGTCTCTGGTTGTGGGCAGGTGACCCGCCCTGGATTGCAGTGCTGTGCAGGCAAGGCAGGGTGTCTGTGCCTGTGCCCGTCTTGTCTGCTCTCTTCCTCTTCTGGCCAGGCCGCAACGGTGTGTTGGCAGTGTTCGCCGTCCGATGTCGGGTGGGCAGCAGCGCGTGCTGTGCGGGCGAGGGCGTCCTGGCTAGGTCGAGCGGGACAAGACAAGCAAGGTTGGCTCGCGGCTTGGCTCCCGTCCCGTTCGAGCTGGTGCGGCTGCACGATGATGGAGCTGTGCAGGACTATTGAGACGATGGGACTCGTGGATGCCAGACGATGTGGCTTGGTGGTGTTGGTTGCTCGGTGCCTGCTGAGATGCCTGTTGAGGTGCCTGGTCCTCACAGGCCAGGCGAAGAGGCAGAGGGGCAGAGGCAGAGGGAGCGGCTGGAATAGGAGAGGAACGGCGGGCTGCATGATGCCGAGGGATGGCGAAGCAGAGAAGCGTGTGCCGCTGGCCATGTGCTATTTTGGACGAATGGTTTTGGTGTTGTTGGGCATGAGCTTCAGGCTGCCAAGGCTAGAGGCGCCTGAGAGGCGAGGCGCCTGAGCTGGCCTCGATACCTGCCACGGGTACCGCCAGTGAGAGCGAAATGCCTTCCTAGGTACCTACGTAGGTACGATAGGCACCCCCAGGGAGAGGCCAGGAAGCGACGACGCTGAAACGATCCACCGGGCGTCACGCTGGCCGCCGGCAGGTACACCTGCCTTGACCTGCCTTGCAAATACACCAAAGGCAGGTACTCTCGTCGAGCCAAAGGCAGGTACGCTCGCCTCGGCGATGCCACCATTTGTGTGCATTTCCTCTTTCTGTATCGACGCTTCAACCTCCAGACATCCAATCTGTCATCACCGGCAGGACGAACATTCACATGCATCTCTGCCGGTCGATCCATCTTGCTCCGTCACCTGCCAGCGCGCGTCGCTCCCCCCACGCGGCACCCCATGCGGCAGCGATCAGCGGTCCCGATCTGGTCACGCCGACCGACGCAGAACGCAGTGGCCCCGTCGCACCACGCGGGCAGATCGTGTCTCTGGTTTCCGCCGGCCGGCTCAGAAGGATGGCCGCCCTGTTCTCGCGGCCAGACTCATTGGAAACGTGAAGAAGGGTATGTCTCATAAACGCTGTGCGATAACCCATGCACAGGACGATCTGCGTTACCGAGCAACATCCTCTACTAGCCTCGTCAGTCTGTCTCCCCGCCTGCTGAACGAGGCAAGACAGCATTCCCAGCATGCACACTACGCACACCCCAAAAGAAAGAACAGCTAGCCCCGCCCCGAGACACGCTCCGACTGCCTCTTCAGCCCGGCGTTGAACCGCGCCCAGGGCTCGCTCGGCTTGAAGCTGTGGCGCCACGGCCAGAACGGCACGGTGAGGAGCCCCTCGAAGTCTTCGCGCTGCACAAACGTCGTGCCGCCGGGGGTCTCGGTGCTCGGCGTGAAGAGGGAAGTGGTGCGTGCCCCAGAGGAGGGGCGGGATCGAGCCGACCCACGTGAAGACGTCGGGCGCGTTGGCCTGGCGGCGCGTCAGCGAAAGGAAAGGCGGGCGGGATGCTGGGTGGTGATGGGCCTACTTCAACGTGAGGACGAAAGGTGAAGCCCTGCATGTTGACGCGGAGGTTGTCTCCCTTTTTCAGTCGACGGGGCCTCTGTCCCGTGGTTGCTGGCTGTATGTCGAAGACGTCTGCCATGGTCCGTAGCGTGCAAAGTCGAGGAACTGGCACCGTCAGATGAGTTTGGCCGTCGTTTGAGGGACGTAATTGTGGACAGGAGACACGCACTATGGACCGGACTGTTTCTGGGGAGGCCTGGATCTCAATCGAGGCGGTTTGTGTAATGGCGGCACCCATGGCGAGATGATGGTACATGGATTGATGAGATGTGCAGGATAGTTGAAGTAGGACAGGGCTTCCTGTTGTGACGATGCAGAGGGTGTACCACGCAAAAGTGCACTAGAATGCCATCAAGTCCTTTATACCATCCTCATTCTCACACCAATGTCATACCCATATACCTTCACGCCGCTCCGTCTCGGACTGTCGCCGGCGCTCGCGTGCTCATCGGCACAGCGGCGTCGCCCGAAACGGCGCGAGAAAAGCGCGAGAAAAGCGCGAGCCCCGCTTTTCCGTGCCGAATCCGCGCCGGCGCCGAGGGCTGTCTGCTCGGCGTCAGTCTGCTGGTCGGTGATGGGCTTGATCTCTATAAGATGCATGGTGCCGCATGGTATTTACATGTGGCCGTCTCATCAAGCAGTCTCACCAGCATCAAGCACTTCTGATCACTCATCACCATCATCACCATCATCACCATCACAACATCATCACCATCATCACCATCATCAACATCATCACCATCGTCACCACCACCATCTTCAGTCAAGCGAATACACTTGACATCTCACCAACATCGCACCAATACCCCAATGTCCAAGACGGTCGCCTTCCTCGGCGCCTCCTCCGGCGTCGGCCTCGCCACCCTCCGCGCAACCCTCGCCGCAGGCCACCGCGCCATCGCCCTCTGCCGCACCCCCGCCAACCTCACAGCCCACCTGCCCCTCGATGCGCACCCGAATCTACGCATCGTCGCCGGCAACGCCCACGACGCCGCCGCCGTGGCGCAGGTCCTCCAAAAGGACGCCACGCACCTCGTCGACACGGTCATCTTCACCATCGGCGCCCGCATGAAGGGCCTCTCCTTCGAGGACCCCCACGTCTGCGAGAACGGCATCAAGGCGCTGCTCGGCGCCCTGACGCGCCTGCGCGCCGACGGCCTCGGCGGCAGGCCGCGCCTCGTCGTCTGCAGCACGACCGGCATCTCGCGCCACGCGCGCGACGTGCCGCTGCTCATGGTGCCGCTGTATCGCCTGGCCCTCGCCGTGCCCCATGTCGACAAGAGGGCCATGGAGGTCCTGCTCGAGGGCGGCGGCGAGGATTTCACCGTCGTGCGGTGCAGCCTGTTTGTGGGCGCCGCGTCCGATGCCACGATTCGCGTCGGCGTCGAGGATCCCGTCGCCGGCACCGAGTCGACGGCCATTGGGTTCCCATCTCACGCGAGGATGCCGGGGCGTGGTTGCGGAGAACCTCG